AGACCTTGTAGAACTAGATCAACAGCTGACCAACAGTGGTATAATGGATAAGGAATGTAGGAAAGGGCAGATTTAGGACCATTTTCAGTGCACAAACTCCGATTTCACCTGCTGGAATTTACAAATTTGCCTTGCCCAAGTTAATGAATGAAATGTTTAAACAGGCTTTCAAGTTTGATTATTGTTTGTAACAGACTGGCATAGCGTAATTAAAAAATAACAGATAACAGATAATCAGATTTGGAAGGGATCCTGTAGGTCATCTAGTCCAACCCCACGCCCAAGTGGAGACCCTACACCATTTCTGACATTTGGTGGTCCAATCTCTTCTTGAAAGTCTCAAGTGATCCCACAACTTCCCAGGGCAATTGATTGATTGTTCTCACTGTCAGAAAGTTACTCCTTATTTCCAAGTTAAATCTCTCCTTGTTCAGTTTCCATCCATTATTCCTTATCTGGCCTACAGACACTTTAGAAAATAGCTTGAACCCTTCCTCTCTGTGGCAACACCTCAAATATTGGAAGACTGCTATCATGTCTCCCCTGGTCCTTCTCTTTACTAGACTAGCCAAGCCCAGTTCCTGCAACCGTTCATTGTATGTTTTAGTCTCCAGTCCCCTAATCATCCTGGTTGCTCTTCTCTGTACTTTTTCTAGAGCCTCAACATCTTTTTTATAATGTGGTGACCAAAACTGGATGCAGTACTCTAGAGATGGTCTTACTAAGGCTTTATAGACTGGTATTAGTACCTCACTTGATCTCGATTGTATCCGTTAATGCAATTTAGGATTGCATTAGCTTTTTTGGATGCTGCTTCACACTGCTGCTATTGAGCCTGGTTTCACCCAGTCTATATGTGTACTTTTGGTTTGTCTTGCCTAAGTGTAGGACTTTACTTTTCTCTACATTGAATTTCATTTTGTTAGATACATCCAGGTGTTCTAGTCTGTCAAGATCCATCTGGATCTTGAGCCTAACTTCTCGGGTGTTAGCTATTCCTGCCAGCTTAGTATAATCTGCAAATTTGGTAAGTTCCCCTTCTATTCCCTCATCTAAATCATTAATGAAGATATGAAATCATATAATGAAGAGTACTGGGCCTAAGTCAGAGCCTTGTGGCACCCCACTGCTTACTTCCCTCCATGTAGACTTAGACCCATTAAGGACTACTTCTTGAGTATGGTTTGTCAGCCAGTTGCGAGTCCATCTAGTGATGATGCTGTCTATTCCACTTTTTTCTAGCTTACCAAGAAGTAGGTTGTAGTCTACTTTATCGAATGCCTTGCTGAAATCTAAATGTATTATGTCCACAGTATTTTGCTGGTCTACTAATGTAATCACTATGTTGAAGAATGAACCAAAAAAATCAAGTAAAGCCATGAAGCAGCTCCTATTTATTATTCCTATTCTAATTCTAATTCCTACATGATAACTCTACTTTGCAGGATTATTGACATTACTATTTTAAAAGTTGCATTCCAGTAGACAGAAACTCATTTGTTAAAATTCTGTATCGAGGATGGGAAACAATGGCACTCCAGAAATGCTGAACCACAACTCCCAGCAGCTCCATTCAGCACGATCACAGCGAATAATTCTGGTTGCATAAAGCATGCAAAATGTGGTTTGAATTATTGATTCAATAAATCAACTGAAAAATGGACATTTGAATCAAATGAATCAAGTTGCCTAACTGAATCAATCTGATTTCCCAATCAACTCATAAAAAAAGTTTCTGCAAATGCCCAGAAGTTTCCAAAATTGTCCATATCAACCCAGAGCCATCCTGTTTGATGCAATAATTGGAATCAATTTTCTGCTTCATTCAGAAATTTGAAGAGTTCAATTGAATTGTCTTGCAAACTGAATTTCCATATCAAATATTCACACAGCCCTTCTAAATTAGTTAATTGCTTTCAGATGCATGGAAGATGCAAGTATTTAAATCAAACTCAGCTACCAATCCACCTATAGCATACTTGAAAGGAAGTAGAGGCATCTGTTTCAGGCAATAAAACATCTTAGATCATTTTATCTATCTATAATTCAAAACACCCTGACTATGTCTCTTCAAATGGTAATGAAATGTTTGCAACCAAATTGTCAACCTCAGAGCTCAATCAAACAGCCCGTCTGTCTGACTATCTCTTCTGCATTCTTCATTGAATATCAACCTTAATGAATTCAATTAATTACTTCCAAATAAGTAGGTAAAGAATGAAGATGTCTGTAAAGCAAAAACAGCCATAGTGAAGATAATACGTATTATTATAAAACAGTATTTTTATTAGCATGCAATCTTTCAAGAATTCTTCATTAGGCAAGATAATTGAAAATTTGGAGGTGGTGATAGAACAGGAAAGAGATATAGGTGTTTAAGCCATGCCTCTATTGTCTGTGACGGAGAGCGGGAATAACTTGCAGACTTTCCATCTCATGTTGCTCTCTTGATAGCAAACGTCTAGGTAGGTACATAAACTGCTTCTTGTGCCTTTATCAAGAGAACCTGGAGAAAGAACAGAATGTCCACACATAGCATTTGCCATTGAGCCCTAGCAACTTAGGAATGGGGTTCATAAAGCTAAATCAGAAAATTAAGGCATTATTGCTACAGAATGAAATACATTTACAAGTAATCAGCCAGGGCTTGCAGATTAAAAAAAAAAATGTCTTTACATCCTGCTGAGGAAAGTCAGGAGTTGGACTTCAAACCATACTAGGATGTCAAAATCTCAAACCCCACCACTGCTTTTTATTCTTTTGGGGGCAGGAATGGGATAACTTCAGCAGAAGGGTGGTGGGTTTTATTTTCCCCTTATTAGTTGATAATGCCATCTACCATAAGAGGGCGCCCAAGAACCCCACATTAAGGCTAATATTCTATGGAAGAGAGTAGTGGTACTAAATGGGGGGGGGGGGGGGGGGAGAGAAAGACCGATGTGGTGGGGGAGGAGAGAGAGAGAGACAGATGAAAAAAGGATGTAAACTCCTAAGAAGCTTCTGAAGTAACCAAAATGCTCCGGAGCTTGATAGGAAAGGTCACAATATCTGTCTCCCCCAAACACAAAATATACCCCCTACCCCATCCCATTCCCCCACCCCCAAAAATGCAAGAACAGATCAGTCATTTACCGGTCTGGTTGTGAATGGTTTTGACTGTGGGTGCTGGGCGTTGTATTGTGATTCTTGCCCGTTTTCAAAGCTAGGACTACAGCGCAAGTCTGAAGCACCCAAACAACTGTCTTCTAATATTAGCACGGCTGTATTTCTAGATCTATTATAGTCTGTCCAGACAGATCCTATTGTAATGGGATCTTTTATTAAAAGATTAGCACTATCTCCTGCAGTTGGTGGAAAAAAATCTGTTATCGCTGAGTTATTTGCAGTTGCAAGGCGGGGCGTTTGAGGGGGGGGGGTAGGGGGGGGACTGGGGGGACCGGGGGAAGGAAGGGGGGGGGGAGACCGGGGGGGAGGGGGAGGGGGAGGGGGGGGGGGGGGGGGGTCACCCGGACTTCAGGAGAAAGAAAGCACCGTGACCTGGCAATAAGCAAGAATTTCTGTCTGCATAATTTGCAGTCTGTTGCCTGTTGGTAGCGGCTGGGAGCAGAGGGGCTCTGGAGCAGGCGGCCACGCAGTAGTCTCCTTCTTTTTCCTCGCCTTCTTCCTCTCCTCCTCCTCATTCCCCTCCCCTTCTACTTTATTGTTTTTTATTTTAAAAGGCGGCTTTTTGAATCCACACGCCCCAATTCCCCCCCTCCCCCCCTCCCGTTAAGTAATCATTTGGTATAAAAAGGAAATATCTCCTATTCGGTTTCATTCAGCAGTGCCAAAAAATTTGTTAGGAGAAGCGGGCCCGCCAACTCTCTTGAAAGAAGGGAAGAGTTGCCAGACGGCGCTTAATAGAGCAACGCCGCAAAAGTTCATTAGGCCCGCTCCAGGCGCGTCCTTCCTAATGGCCGAGAATCCTTATTATTTCATTCTGAGGCGAAAAGGACCGCCTACGTCGCCTCCCGGCTCCAGCTCCAGACGCCCTCGAGTCAAGAGGCTAACACGCGGGACATTAAACTGGGCATTAAACTCTGATTTGTTTTTGACGAGTCCCAGAGAGGGAGATGCGGGCGCGCCAGACACTTAACTACTGTTTGGAGGTGTGAGGCTTGGAGATTTACGAGGAGTAGCCACAACATTTGGGCGGGGAGCGGGGGTGCAAAGGCTAACTAAGGGGAGGGAGCCCGTTCGCAAGGGCGCCCGGGGGGGGGGGCAAAAGGGGCGCAGGGGATGGCTCCGTGCCGGATTAGAAGCGTGGGTCGTTGGACACCCCAGCCCCTACAGACTATAGGTGCTGTCGCGGAACCTTCTCCGCAATGGTATCACGCGGCACCTCCGACCCCCGACGGCGAGATTTGGGAGAGAGCGAGGGAGAAACACGGCGGGATAGTCTGGGTCGCGCCTCTGTCCTCCCACGGGAGCGAAGTGAAGCTGGCAGTTGCCAAATGAAAACAGCCCCGGGAATCCTTGCAGGGAAAGGGTCTCGCCTGCGTCTCCGCGCGCCCAGCAAGGCGCTTGCAGCGGAGGAAGCCTTTCCTTCCTTCCTTCCTTCCTCTTTAAGCGGACAGCCTGGGCTTTGGGTTCCCACACTCAGTTCCCCTAAAAAAAACCCACCACTTGGCAGGGAGCGCAAACCCACTTCTCCCTTCCCGACCCGCTGGGTGCCAGAGTCCCAGCGATTCTCCGGTCGATTTGAGCAAAGCAGCGGGAAAGGGTGTTGGGAGGGGCGTGGGGTGTGTGTGGAAGCCGGGGATGGACCCACGCGCGTGCGCGCACACCTTGGGAGACAAATAATCGAAAAGGGATTCAAGCCGAAGTTTTTTAAATCTCCCCCCACCACCCAAGCACGCGCGCGCGCATACACCCTTCTCCCTCCCTCTTTCTCCCATACTGCCCCCCCACACACACACACATACACGCACACACACACATTAGGAGACCGCCCACCGCAGAACTAAGACCCCATTCGATTTAAAGCGAGACAGCATTCAGAGGCTGACATTCATTCAATAGATAGAGCGATCAGAAGCAGGCTGTGTGACGGGCGTGCTCGCTCTTTCTTTCCCTCGCCTGACTCTTGCCACTCCGAGGTTGCGTTCGTCTCTTTCACTGGAGGGAAAGTAATTTAAGGATGTTAAACCAGAGAATCTTTCCAGGCATGGTTTTATTCCTGATGTTTTTCTGCCACTTCATAGAAGATCAAACCGCACAAGGTAAGATAAATAATTCACACATTTCCTTGCTGGTGTGACTCTGTCTATCTCTGTATGTCCCTCTAGCTCTGCCTTTTTAGCTCACCCGGCGCCTTTACCTTTTTCAACCCACCCGAGGCGTTTAAAGCTCCAGTCCTAAACTCAGACAGAGCTTCCCACTTGAAGTCTCGGGGGTTTCCAACTCGCGCTTAGTTGGGATCGCTTTGCATCGGGGGCTTTCTGGGAATGCGGAGACTGGGGAGAAGGAAAACCCACGATTCGCTGGACAGAGAATCCCTCTTCTCGTCAGCCTGATCATCTTCATCACTTTATCCATCATTAGCTCTAAAAGGGCTTTCTAAAAAACTGGCGTCGCTGTTGCCTGGCTT